ACGAATGACATCCTATTTAATAATTTTTATAATTTTACTAGCTAATATACCCGGCATGGCCTGTGATGGCATTCAGAAGAAACAAACAAACAAACAAACACCTACAGCCTTTTAGTTAACATCGAAATTAAGGGGTGGTAAAAAAAATAATTAATTGGATCCCGAACCCCAGTGGGAACCCATTCCCCAGAATAATTCTACACCATTCCTGAATGGATTGGATATTGTTGATTTTAAATAAATTGCTTTTTTTTTCAATATGGACTATGAAGAGTATTGCTACCAAGCTAGTTCCATCAATTTACATAGAACCTATAGTGTTGTCTAAGCCCGTTTTTTATATAGCTTATATCAGGAAAAATGAAATGGGGCCCTTGGCCCCAAAAGGATTGAGTGGATATTATAAGTTCAGTACCTTTCTATAAGGAAAATCAAGTGTATGTGTACTAAGTTTGGTCTCGATCCACCCATTCACGCAGGAGCCAATGTTTTAACTTATATTTATACAGCTCATTCAGAGTGACTCAGATTAGACCACTCGACCACCTATATATGATTGTAAAGAATTTCTTTCTACTCACAAGTCCATCGAGCTAATTTGTAGCATCAACTTTTGTTATCCCACGTGACCCTCTCATTACACTTAGTCGCGTCTACCTCATGCAGGCTTGTACAGGCGCAACTGACTTGCTGGCACAGTGTGTTGTCACGAATACTAGAAGGATGATAAACCTGAAAGAAAAAAAAGGACGCAACAAAGCAATGAAAGTGTCGACAAGAAGCCTTCTTCGGTGAACAAACAACAGTAACACAAATATAAAAAATAAACACTTAGCTGAGATGTAGTATCTTAGAGTACAACAAGAACAACACATTCCTCTAGCAACGATTAAAAAAGATTAATTGGCAAACCTGAAAATAACGCTTACTTCTTTGTCTATTTCTAAAAATCGATTGCACTATGTCTGATTGTCCATTTATAGCTTATCAACAAAATCTGTAAATGAAACGTTGAAATGGAAAAAAATAATAATTATCGATACATTTGTGGTGCCAATATAAAGTCTCTAAGAACGACAAACAAATGTGGACACAAGGGGAGCAATACTGTATGTGATTTCACTTTTCTATGCTACCTGTACATCTGGTATGGTGTAGCTTAATTGGCTGTCATTCAGTAAGTTAATCTTTCATATTAGCACCTGCATACTTGGGACATGACAATGTAGTGGCAAAGCTAAAAGTGCCCTTCTAGCTCATTCCACTCCCTCTTACCATATTAGTCTCAAGGGGCGTGTCCAGAGTGTTTGGAGTTCAGGACAAGATTCATTTCTTTACGCCCCTCCACACTTTTTCAACAAAGCCTAATCCCCCCCTCCCCCTCCCGACATCGGTCCATCACAGCTACCTCTCTAGCTAGTCCCAATGGTAGACAGAAAAAGGGCCCATTACGTTGCCTTATGCATGTCTAAAGGTCCATTTAAGACACCTTTTCCAATAACTCCGGTCTCTATCGAAAAATGTGAATTATGTATTTGATCGAAAAATAGAAATAAAGTGTATTTAAAATAATAATAATAATAAAATTGAACACCGATTTTGAATGAACAGGATACAAGGTTTTTGTTTAAAGTGGAAGACAGGAATTTACAAATTTATCAAATCAAATTTCCAAGTTAGGAATACTTTATGACTTAATGTAAATAATCTCTGTTGTTATAATGCGTAAAATAATTATAGTCTATGGTTTTTTTGGTGGATGTTTGTTAAAATATAAAGCTGCATCAAAAGACGTATGAGACGTATGACTTTGTTAGAACTTGTGCAAATAGTATTTTAAGTTCTTATCATTAGTAAATTTATTTTTTAAATTCTTCGGGGCGGGATTTAGAGATTTTTATACTGTATCATGTATCTTTAAATTTGTCGTCTTTTTGCCTTTTAAAACGTTTTAACTTAATACCTCGTGTTCTGTTTTGTCTCTCGTGTTTCCCCTTTTCTATTATCTTAACTATTAGTATTAAAATAAAATAGGCTATACTATTTTCAATTTTTAAATAGGCACAAACACAACACTTATAATTATACTATTTTTACTAAACTAAAAATATATTTAAAATAGGCTAAATTTAGTTTAGCGTATTTTTGCCATTTAACGAGCAAGAACACAATTTATGATAATTTATGTAATTTATTATTGAATATATATTTGATGAAATCAATTCCTGTTCATCAAAAATTTCTGAATGAATTCAAATATCATATTTCTTAATAATTATTTCTTGGAGGAAAAATAGGGTGTTCTCTAAGTTTGGTGGAATACACTTACAAAATCCATATTTTATAATATGCCGACAAATAGGTAATCTGCCCTTTGTTTAGGTTTTTGTGTGATTATTGCTGTACTCAACTGTTTTTCATTATAAAGTTAAAGGAAAGTACAAATCACACCTATCCGATGTAGTAGACGTGAGTGTTGAGAATTTCAATCCAATTCTATTAATTGTTAAACTCAAGCCACGGCCCGCAGCCTCTCTCCTGTTATTAAATTTAAGAAATTTAACACATTCGTTTATTATTAGTATTAGTATTAGTATTTATTAACTTCGCCCTAACTTAGGCTTAGGCCTATGGCCTATGCCTATACTTATTTTATTATTTATAATATTAATAATTAATATTATAGTAGTCTATAATTATAATAGTAAGCTCCTTAGTCCTTACTCCTTTGATTGTGAACTTTTTATAGTTAAATAGTTGATTTAATTTAGGCTTAAAGTTGAGATAAACCTAAGCCGAAGCCTAGTCACTAGTTGCTAAGGCTAAGACTGGCTAAGACTAAGTAAAACTACTCTAAATTATGTAAATTAAAAGTTGAACTAGCATCTTTTTATTAATCAAAAATCAAAACCCAACTTTGGCATTTTATAAACCTAAAAATATTTAAAAACAGTAACAATGAATGATTAGTAGTAGTCTTACTCTTACTAAGATTCTTAGTCATTAGTGTGTATATCATTTATTATTATAAGTATTCTATTATTATATTTGGCTACTCCACAATTCCAACACTCTCACTCACACTAACACTTACACAGTGTATCAGTATTACTATTACTATCACTATCAAACTGACACAGTGTCTATTTATTATTTATACTATAAGTTTAGTTTGGTTTAGGAGTACAATGTTATAATTTGCCATTCATATTATTGTTACTTGTATTTCATAGGCTCGATACTTAAGATATAATTAGAATAATAATAATAATAATAAAGTTTATTTGAAAAACAAGTTTCATCCCCAATTACAGTTTTATTCTCATTGTGACAGTTGATAGATCATCATCATAGGCCAGTCAAATCTGAACTAATCACTGGACAAATGCAAACAAAACAATTTAAAATTTGAATTGATTGAACAATATAATTTTTTTTTTTCAAATCCTAGTCATTATCAAGTTCATATTATTATAATTTATATCAATTTAGGCACAAATCATTATACAACGTGACTTGTCTTGCTAATCTAATTATTTTTGATACAACTGGCCACAATGCACCGCCAATAAACAGAGCTCATCACATAGCTTCCCAGAGATTTAAAATGATAATAACTTAAATAAAGTTAATCTGTTACTGTCACACCTATACAATGTTATGGTCCCAGGTACAGGTATTTCCTATTTTCATGTAGAAGACCCAGAAAATCAGGCTTATTTGCATTTTATTAGCATTTTTTTATTTTTTGGGTTTTGGAAATATTTTTTGAAATGAATTTGGGGGTGCAGAAAATGTTTTGAAATCAAGAGGAGGGTTAGTTGCTGCAAAAAAAAAAAAAAAGAAAGAAAGAAAAAAGAAAGGTCATACGCCCAGATTTATTTATTTGCATTTTATTAGTATTTTTTTATTTTTTGGGTTTTGGAAATATTTTTTGAAATGAATTTGGGGGTGAAGAAAATGTTTTGAAATCAAGAGGAGGGTTAGTTGCTGCAAAAAAAAAAAAAAGAAAGAAAGAAAAAAGAAAGGTCATACGCCCAGATTTAAGCTATCATTAAAATATTGTAATATTTTAATTTTGTCTTTCAGAAAAAGGTACTCAAGTGTTCTGTCCTGTCTACATTGAAGACATTAGAACAACTTACATTTATAAAGCAGAAATGGTTGAGGCAGATATGAGCCAAAATGAGTTTGATCCAGATATGAAAGTAAGTATTGTCTCTTTAGCCCTTTTAGCCCTATTTTAGCTGGCTCAGTAGCAGCATCTGATGGATATAGTTATATTATATATTAGAGATAAAAGAAATCACTGTGATGCCTACTAAAATTGAGAATTTAAAGAACAAATCTAAGGAAAGAGACCAGCATTGAAACTTGGGATTTTCAAGACCTTTAATTTGGCCATGAACATCCCTAACAATGATCAGGAAGTAGGACAATTATCTAGTATCTGAGGATTAAGCCTACCAGGCAATGACCTGTTAATAGGATTAGCCCTAGCAGCCATGATCTGGGAATAAGATTAGGCCTACCAGCCATGATCTGGGAATAAGATTAGGCCTACCAGCAATGACCTGGAAATAAGATTAGGCCTATCAGCAAAGACCTGGGAATAAGATTAGGCCTACCAGCCATGATCTGGGAATAAGATTAGGCCTACCAGCAATGACCTGGGAATAAGATTAGGCCTACCAGCCATGACCTGAGAATAGGTCAAATAGCCATGATCTGGGGAGCAAGCCTGTTAGCTATTATCTCGGAGTTCTTTAACTAACCTTGATCTTCAAATAATGCTAAAATTCCACATGTTTACATCTGATTATAACAATGAGTTGGCAAATGTCCATTTCAGTGAGTTTCATTTATGAAATGCAGAAATGTTCAGTTTATACTTTTAAAAGTCAACACTTTGTGTCTGATTATTAATGCCATAATCACCTTTAAAAAATAACTAATAAATAGAACTTTGTTGGCAGACTGCATTAGACACACTTGTAGAGGAATTAATTGATGAGGTATCACTTGGTCTATGCTTTGAGATTCATCGGTCATGTAAAGTTGGATCCCTGTTTTTGAATGGCTTTGATGACACGTAAGTAGCCAGGAATCATGTTTTTTTAATGAATACACAGAATGAATTAACTAGGTGGCAATAACTATTTCTGGTTGCCTTTGAGATAAATGATATATAGCAAATTTAGTTTTCTTCAGTGTTGGGCCCTGAATATAAGATAGGGAACTATGGTCAATGTTTCTTTTGATAAACCCCAAAAAATTTACAAATAATTGTTACTTACACATGCTCTAATAAGCATTGTTTTCTGCCTTGATGTCCCACTATGACTTTCTTTTGGAACCTAGGGTAGACTATTCCATTGCTAAGGACAAATTAAGGACCAGTCTTAGAGTGATTGCTGATAAGGTATACACTTGTAACACACTAGTGCACCATTGGACAGAAATTGACAATTTATGCCACATGGCTATTACAAATGACATTTAAAGCAGCTTAACCCGTGAAGTGTGGTCGGCTGATCTAATCGGCTGATTTCCTCTTTCTAAACTGTGTCTGCCGATTTTATAAAAATTGGGTTGAAAGAATAAGTTCAAGTTCAATATTTTACACCAAATAAAACTACTTCCTTTTAATAATAAATAAACTTCAGTTTTTCACTCTTCTGTGTCTTTTTTTTAAACTTTGGAGTTGTTTTTTTCAACGATCTTTATTAAGCAAATTTGTGTAAGTAGATTTTTGCGAAATGGATGAGGCCATAGCTGGACCATCTGGCTTACAAAATAAATCAGTTAGGAATCTTTTTGATAATTATTATTAGTTAATGACTTAAGTGATTCGGAATACGATTTTCCAATTACACACGTAGACAATGATAATTCCAATTATGCAGAAGGAGAAAGTTCTGACACTTTAGACCTAGGCCTAGAACGAGTATGAGTTGCAGCAACAACATGACTCTTTCAAAACTATGTTGCAGATGACTTGTTTATGAAAAAAAAATAATTGGATGTTGTTCTATATATGTTTTCTTATATATCATTTTATGGATCAACTATTTATATAGCAGCTATTTAAATTTTATCTGTTTCATGCTATTTAGTAATGTTTATCTTGTTTATGTCATTTAGTAATGTTTATCTTGTTTATGTCATGCTTTGTTACTTGAACGTAATTATAGGTATCAGAAGATTTTTTTTGTGTTAATCTATTAATAACTAAAACATATACAAGTTATACATTTTCTGAAAGATATATAAAATGTTATCATATTATATAAATATTATAATAATATGCCTTTAAAAAATTGTAGTTTGAGGTACTTGAAAATAAAAAATTTCATATTTTCTTTATTCTTGGTCACGTCAAGGTCATGGTCAGCGAGTATAAAATATTAAAAAATAGCCTGTATGATTCCCCACTCAGTCTACTTTTAATAATGACATACTTTATGGGGTCTAGCTTTAGTATTTGCATGTGAAAAATCACCTTTTTCAAAGGCACCCAAAAAGCTCAAAATTCCCTGTACAGTATAGAAACATAACATACACACTTTGTGTGTTAAAAAATGCAAAATTTACATCAATAAATTAAAGACCAGCCCTCCTTACAATACACAAAAAAAATTTTTTGGGAGTATTCATTTTTTGAATTAAGATGATTTGAGGAACTGTTTAAAGGACTGCGTTCATTAGTTCTACGTATGTGCAATATCATTATTTAACTCTACATTCGTGTTACTTTCTTTTCAGGTCAGATACAGAGTATGGTGAGTAAACAAGTTACATTTTCAGGATTTGTACAATTAAGTTTCTGGCCGAGATGAAATTGCTGGACTGGATGAGACTTTTGAAATTTCCATTCATTTTCTTTTTTTTTTTTTTTTTTGCAGAGTACCTTATAAACTTTTTCTAAAGCCAGTTCATTTATATTTTCTGGCCGAGATGAAATTGCTGGACTGGATGAGACTTTTGAAATTTCCATTCATTTTCTTTTTTTTTTTTTTTTGCAGAGTACCTTATAAACTTTTTCTAAAGCCAGTTCATTTATAAGCTGAAGGCCCTAGGTTCTGCCGAAAAAAATTAAGAAAAGTGTATAAGCTGACTCTATATTATAAAATGTTAGTGTAAGCAAAGTGGGTATTAAAGAAACAAATTTAAAAAAAATGCAAACTTTTAAAAGTAATTCTTTTGTAAGTAAAAGACTTAAAAACTAATAAACATACAGTATGTTGTATAAGACAGTTTCTTACTTTTAATGTCTAACCATACTGAAGAAATCCAAAAATAGATGATGGCAGCTCGGAAAGAAATATTTGGTTGCCTTATTTTTCAATGCCTGTATTCTGCCATTAAATAATAATTAACAAGTTTTGTATGGGTGCATTATTCTCAGTGTGTTAACTGGTATTTAAGATATACTATATGTCGTGTATTGAAATGAGAGTTGCTTTGAACATTTTTAAAACTGCTGCTCTGATCTTATAAAATATAACAATCTGACAATACAACAGTTAAAGTAACTTTGGTTGATTACTTTTTTTGTCATCCTTTTCTATAAATGAATCAATGTGCTTAGAATAATGTAAAAAACTTTCCTATTATCCAACCTTAAGCTGACCTCACCACATAATCCCCTGAAATATTGTTATAAAAAATCAGCTTTAGAAAGAATATAGTTGGAAGTTGGTTGGGAAGGGATGCCTGCCCTATTAGCCTATCTACACCAAGATGAATTCAAACCTCTAATTTCACAGGCAGACCATATTACCTATGTGCCATAGTGCCGACAGGGTAAAAAAAGATTCAATGAAAAAACATAAATTTAGTTTGTTGGTTGAAAATATTAATTCTTTGGCCTAGTAAATAAGATAAGATAATATTCTCTTATTGATTAAAAACAATTGCAATCTTTCTTGATTGCTTTGCACATATTCACTTTCAGCAAATAAATAAATAAATTTTCTAACAAAGACAACATACTACAACTAAAAAAATTTAAACCCAAGACATCTAAAGTATTTCTCTAGTGTAAAATTCAGCCATCCTATAACATAAAACTAAACTCCCTTAGTGACAATAATGACTTAATTAATGATCATTTAGATTTTATAACGGGAGAGCATGCTGGTAAATTCTGATGTATTGAGGAACAAAAGAATTTCTATATCTTTCGGTCATAACTTTAAGGGAAAAATTAGCCCTGATCAAGCTGATCTTCGGTAACTGTGATGAAGAGGATGGGATGTATCCTCCAAAATGTTTTTAGTTTTACAACATAATTTTTCTTCAAATAGTTCTTCAAACAAAGTTTGTGTGATAGTAGCTTTCTTGATTAGTCTATTTAATCCGTCTTTGATGTTTAGACAGTGAATTCTCACACCATCAGATAATATTGAATTTCAGTAGGCCCCAACTGTTGCACTGTAGAATAAGTTAATAACTTGTTTATTTATGCCAAAATTGTATAATTTTTAAAGACAGAAAAGTCTTTGGTTGACTTTTTTATACAGAATTTGGCTGTTTTCATGCCATGTTACCTCATTTACTTTTCAACAGTTGTTACCATGGCATCATATGTATTTTTGGGGTGAAGCCTTATGGCACAGCTCTCCTGATATATGATGGGTAGAAGATAGTCACCCTGCTATGTTCAGATGTTTACTAATAATTGTGTATTGACAAGAAGTCATCAGAAACAATCCATCCCTGTTTTATCTTCAAGCTAATTTAAAATCACTTATTGAAGATTTATTCTCTTCAAAGCAATTGTTGACAGACCAGGTGTAGATGTGTTAGGACAAGTCCCTTCAAAGAAAAACTATGAATGTATCTGTCCGAACTGTCAACGCCACCTGGCAGCATCAAGATTTGCACCTCATTTGGAAAAATGCATGGGTATGGGGCGAAATTCATCAAGAATAGCCAGTCGCAGGTATGTGCATTAGGAAATGATTAAGAATGGAGTGAAATTCATTTAGAATAGCTATATAAAGTGAATATAAAAAAATAATTGCTTAAGTATGAGTTGTAAATCATCAAGGATAACCAGTGGTTGGTACTTATATCATGTGTTCAAGTATATAAATAGTTGCTTTTAGTTATTGTTTTTTATTTTTATAACTTTGCGTTATTTCAAGTAATTACAGATAATGTCCCAAATAGTGTTGTAATTAGTTGTCCGATGAACAAAATTAATAAAATTTAGTAACACCTCTGATTTGTAGTTGAAGATTTTTGCCTTTCTTTCAATTATTAAATCTTAACGTAAGTTTAAGAAAAATAAAATAGATACCACTGAAATAACTGAAACTTCATTTTCCACTTTAAAAAACAAAAAAAAACCCAAAGAATTGCAAATAATCAAAAACAAGGCAGTGATGACAGTGGTCAGGAGGATGAAAATGACAATGATTGGAACTATGCCCCGGAATCGAAAAGATGTAAGTTTTTACAGGTCACCAGATTGTAGATTGAATTCTGATTTGTGAATGATCAACAAAATGGGCTATTTATGTCTTTGTCATTGTTACGCACTGACTTGTATTGGGAGAAATTAATCTCCTATTTTAATTTTAATTGGCTTGTTGTAAACAGTGCCTAACAAAGGACGATACCATATAATCAACAATATTAAAGATACGACCCAAAACAGTTTCTAGTTACAATTAATTAAGATTTATTAAGTCTTAAGATAATTACAAAATAAAATAAAATAAAATTACAATCTTCAACTTACAGTATGGCAGATGTCGTACCGGTACACAGTTAATACAATTAGAAATAATGATGCCAATAAATAATGCGGAATAAACACATATAAGTAGGAGCACACAAATACACAAAGAATAAAACACGCCTCGTAATGTTAAGAAAATCTATGTGAAAAATCTCCGTCCCCTCGTGCCTGTCAATCTCTTATATATATGTAGAGTAAGATGCTTCGAGAAGGGCTTATGACGTGTTGTTTACATCTCTCGGGTTAAGGAGTATATTCCAGAAATTACCCGAAAACAATCTACCCAATGCGTAATTGGAAGCCGACTGTAAACAAGATACTTCAAAGACCTAAGCCACACCCCTTTGTGAACACAGCGTCTCATGCGGGGTCAATCAGAGGGCACGCACGAGAAATATGATGTAAACAAGCTCTCTATAACACCTCCCCTCTTAAAAGAAAAAAATTTCATTGTTCAAAAATGGAATTCTTTTTCCATTAAAATTGAAGAAAGTACATTTCTTACTCTCAAAATATTAGACAAAAAACTTCTTAACAGCTTATAAACAATAACATAAGTGAAAATTAATTTCTGGACAAAGTATCTGCAATGACATTGTCTTTGCCTTTAATATGTTTGATGTCCAAATTATATTCTTGTAAAAATAGGCTCCATCTTAACAATCTTTGATTTTTGGAGACCATCTTATTCAAAAATGTTAAAGGATTGTGATCAGTAAAAACAAGTACTGAATGTAAAGAACAACTGACATAAAAATCAAATTGTTGGAGAGCAAGAATTAAACCTAAACATTCCTTTTCTACAGTGGAATAGTTTTTCTGATGTGAGTTGAATTTCTTTGAGAAATAAGAGACAGGATGATCTACATTGTGGTCATCTTCTTGAAAAAGAACTGCACCAATGCCAACATCACTGGCATCTACAGCTAATTTAAACTGTTTGTTAAAGTCTGGTGCAATGAGAACAGGAGCATTAGCAAGTATATTTTTAATGTTTTCGAATGCTTCCTGACAAGCATCTGACCAATGAAATTTTGCATTTTTCTTTAACATATTACTTAAAGGAGAAGCAATAACTGAGAAATTTTTGCAAAATTTTCTATAATAACCTGCCATTCCCAAAAATCTCATTAACTGTTTTCTAGTAGTGGGTGGTGGAAGTGATACAATAGCATTTATCTTAGCTTGAACAGGCTTTACATGACCTTGACCCACTATGTGACCTAAATATTCCACAGTTGCATGACAAAATTCACATTTATTTAAATTTACAGTTACATTTGCCTGCAAAAATTTTTTAAACAGAGATCTTAATTGGTTTACATGAGTTGAAAAATCTTGACTGTAAATAATTACATCATCAATATAGGCGCTGCAATTTTCCTGGTCAGCAATAATGTTATTTACAAGACGTTGGAATGTAGCTGGGGCATTTTTCATTCCAAACGGCATTACTTTATATTGATATAAACCATCTGGAGTACAAAAAGCAGAGATTTCTTTTGCTCTGTCAGATAGAGGAACCTGCCAATAACCTGATAGTAAGTCTATCTTGGTTACATATTTGGCATCACCTATTCGATCTATAAGATCGTCTATCCTTGGAATCGGAAAGGAATCAGTCTTTGTGAATGCATTCACTTTCCTGAAGTCAGTACAAAACCTGTAACTTTTGTCAGGCTTTGGGACTAAAATACATGGTGAACTCCAGTTACTAGAGCTTGGTTCAATTATATCATTTTCAAGCATGTATTTTATTTCAGACCGGATTATTTCAAGTTTTTCCGGATTGACCCTATAGGGGTGTTGCTTGACCGGAACTGCATTGCCAATGTCAACATCATGTACAGCAATGTTGGTTTTATTAGGTACATCAGGGAAGAGTAAAACAAAATCTGCAATAACAGACTTAACAACATCCTTCTCTGACAATGACAAATGTCCTAGTTTCTTATCTAAGTTGGCCAATATTTCTGAATTTTTAAGTTTATAATTACCAACTTTTTCTGGGACACTATCAAAGGTTTCAGTAACATTTTCTTTAAGTACTGAAGTTACAGTTGAGATTGTGTTAACATTTGTTTCTGAGGATGGACAATGATCATCACATTTTCTATCAAAATATTCTTTTAACATGTTAATGTGACATAACTGTTTCTTTCTTTTACGATCTGGTGTTAACACAATGTAATTTAAATCATTGATTTTGGACTCAACAACATAAGGACCAAAATATCTAGCTTGTAGTGCTTGCCCTGGTATCGGCAAAAGCACAAGCACTTTGTCCCCTGAAGCAAACTGTCTGAATTTTGACTTTTTGTCATACCAAACTTTCATTTTAGATTGTGAATCTTTTAAATGTGTTTTAGCCAAATTAACGGCATTAAAAAGTTTAGTTTTAAATTTTTGGACATAGTCAAGAAGTCCTTCCGTGGGTGCCGATGACATCCACGTGTCTTTTAAAAGTTTAAGGGGACCGCGAACCGTGTGGCCAAACACCAGTTCGAAGGGGCTGAATCCAAGTGATTCTTGAACTGCTTCTCTTGCGGCGAACAGTAGCATGTTGATGCCTTCATCCCAGTCTTTCTCTTGTTCTAGGCAGTAGGTTCTCATCATGTTCTTCAACGTCTGATGGAATCGCTCAAGTGCTCCCTGTGACTCAGGATGATATGCACTCGACAAGCAGTGTTCTATGCCCAACTGGTTCATCACTTGTTTGAATATTCCAGCCTTGAAGTTGGTTCCTTGGTCAGACTGTACAGACTTCGGAAGACCAAACAATGTAAAAAACTTCGTCAAGGCTTTGACGATGTTCGGAGTCTTGATATTGCGAAGAGGAATAGCTTCTGGGAATCTTGTTGACGCACACATGATTGTCAGCAAGTATTGGTGACCTGATTTTGTCTTTGGCAGAGGTCCAACGCAGTCTATAATGACGCGACTGAAAGGTTCTTCGAATGCTGGAATGGGTTGAAGAGGAGCTGCTGGTATCTTCTGATTTGGTTTCCCTACCACCTGACAAGTATGACATGATCTGCAGTATTCAACCACATCTTTCTTGATTTTGGGCCAAAAGAAGTGCGACGTGATTTTGTGATATGTCTTCTTTACTCCCAAATGACCTGAAAGTGGTGAGTCATGGGCTAAGTTCAGGACTTCGTTCCGGAATGGGGTAGGAACTACTATTTGATGAACTATCCTCCATTCTTCATCAGCATTTGCGTCTGGAGGTCGCCATTTTCTCAAAAGTATGTCATCTTGAAGGTAATAACATATCGGGAATTGTTCAGCTTCTTCTTGGGTCAAAGCATTCTCTCGAAGTTTGACTATTTCTGGATCACTCTTCTGTTCTTCAATAAGTTGCATTCGAGTTGGAGTCTTGTAATTACTAGCCTCTTCATTTAGACTTGCAAAAAATGTTTTTCCCAGGTCAATTTCAGGAAGAATTTTATTGCTTTTTTGTAAAATCTCTTTGTGGAGATCTTGGAACTCATGGCCCTTGTCACAGCACATGCTGGATACAATTCTTGATCTTCTTCTTGATTTTCATTTAAACAAGGTTCATGAGTAACGATGGGCTCGGCTATCACCTTCCCACCAGCTAAGTCATTGCCTAGCAGCAATGAGATGCCGTCCAATGGTAATGTTGGTCGGACACCCACAACCACAGGTCCGGAGACTAAGTCAGATTTTAGGTTGATGAGATGTAAAGGTACATCTATGCATCCAAGCTCTACACCTCGTAACAGGATGTTGCTCCCAGTAGCAGTAGATTCAGACAAGGGAAGTATACCCTCAAGTAGTAAGGACTGTGAAGCACCTGTATCTCGTAAGATTTTGATTGGTTGTAGACTGGAAAAA